AAGATTACGTTGGGCTTAACCAAGTGTAAATTTTAGTATTCAATAGTGCATCTTAGTATGCCAAAATTTAGAGTATCACTTGGTCATGTTAGTACAATGAGAGAGATGACCCTTAATGCTTGGTTCAAGTTACTTGAACCTTTACTACTTCTTGAATAACACATTAGTTAAAGTGTTACTTTGATATGACATGGTTGATAGTAGAGAATGGTAGAATATGTCATGACATATTAATATGCCATAATGAATTCTCAAGTTTGTATATCAAAGAATAGACTTGATCATGCATATATTGTGCATATAATTTATTCATAAATAGCCTTGATTTGGTAAATGAGAATATTAAAGAAAATGTTAGTAAAGAATGAGAAAAGAAAGAAAAGAAAATGGCTTATAGATTCTTTATAAGCTAACATGTACATATTTATATTTTTCTCATTTACTAAAGAATGCATGTGTAGAATTTCCATAGCTTGGAAATTTATTTAGAAAAGTGTATAGAATCTCTTTCTATTCTCTTTCAACAGAATGTTATGTTAGAAGGTTGTTGCGATGGGGAACCCGTGAGTGACAAAGATGCAGAAAATTCCCACATGCACGCTACCATCAGTAAGCAGCCTTAGCATAGAGAAACAAAATTAGTATAGTCTGTTAGCAGGGCATGTGGATGAGGACTATACCCAGAAAGAATTTCAGAATACACTCACACGACCAGGGTTCCAAATCCATGTCTCAACCTAGTCTTGGCAAACTAGAACATAAAACAGAAAAGAGAAGAAATAGAAGCAGAATAAGAAACAGAAAGCAAAAAAGAAAAGAAACAGAAATAGAAAACAGAAACAGAATAAGAAACAGAAAGCAAAAAAGAAAAGAAACAGAAATAGAAAACAGAAACAGAATAAGAGACAGAAAGCAAAAAGGAAAAGAAAGTTCATTTCTCAAAAAAAAGTTTGTTATTTTGCATATGTATTATACTACTTGCATTAGTTAGAATTTCTTATGTGCTCAGCAATGTACATTTTTTTATTAATTGTCCTTGCACATCGATAAGTAGCAAATTAGAATATAAGAAAAGAATGCAGCATATTAGAAAAATTAAAGTGAGAAAAGGAAAGTCAGAATATGAGTAACGGAGGAAAAAACAGTAATGCAGTTTGGTTTACTTACTGAGCAATTAGTGTTTACTCCGTTATTTTACCGTTTTGCAGGTACTAGATGATTTATGGTTGGGTGGGACGTCAGTAAGCGGAGGAGTTTTGGCAGCACTGTCCAAGGATATTTTGTACTTATAAAAGTATATTAGTTATTTTGTGTAAATATTATATGAATTAAATGAGAACTTTTAGATTTTACATTATATACATATATGTATATATGTTTATAGAAGTTATTTAGTGAATTTTGTCATATATTTCTCAAGGAATTACTAGTTAAAGAGTATATTACACGCAAACATGGCCCTTAATCTAGTCCATTGAAACCATAAAACTTGTTTTAGCATTGGACCAGATTGACCTGGAGTTGAACCGGCAAGAATAGTGTCGAACCACGGTTCAATCACCAGGTCAGGGAATTGGAGGCTAAATCGGTCCATTAAAATGCAATTACATTTTCAATTTCAAATGAAATCCCTAATTCCATTTCTGAATTCTAATTTCTTGATTTAGATATTCCTTCCCTAATCTTTGAGTTTTAAATCACGCCTTCTATTGGATCAACTCAACAAGATGATGACTTGACTCGACAGTCGACTTTGCGACAACCCAGTCTGCAACTCCGAACCAAATGACACCGCCGTATCTCCCTTTCGCAATAGCTCCCCTGGTTTGTGGTGGGTTTTGTTATGGCGGATTAGGTTTTTTATGGTGGATTAGGGTTTTTGTGGTGACCTAGGGGTTGTTTTTCTGACGTTGAGCTGATCTAGGGTGGATTGCAGTTGCGATGGCTAAGGTTTCCTAGCCAGATAGTAGGGGGTGTGTTTGGTGGATTTCAAACCTATAGGGATTGATGATAGTTTTTCAAGGGTATGTCTGTTAAGTTTCATATTAGGGTTTCATGCTAATGTCACCAGTCCGACTTGTCGGTCAAACTACCCTACTCGGGGACTGGACCCTTGATCGAGTCAAGGCTTAGTCTGGGTATAAAAACAGTGGTAAAAATATGTAGGGCTGAAAAAAACCGGTTAACCGAATTGGATATATGCATTTTCAAACCGAACCGGTTTTCCAGTTTAAGCAATATTGCAAACCGAAACTAGTTCGAAATATAGCTTAAACCAGTTTCAAACAGATCCTGATTTTCAGTTTGCAATCCGATTATGGAGGGGCTGTAATCGGAGAGTGAAGACGATAGACTTGAGTCTTGGAGAGTGGAGATTATGGAGAATGGAGAATGAAGAGGGAGGCAACGAGTTTGAAAGGGGTTAGCAATTGGAGTCTTGGAGAGTGGAGAGGGCGGCGGCGAGTTTGAGTTGTCGACAGTGTAAAGTGTTTGGGTCTTAGTTTAGGGATTCAAATTCAATAGGATATTAGGATTTAGATATAGGGATTATTAGAATAATAGGAAAACCGGTTATAAAAATGCTATAAACCGTAAATCGAACTGAAATACCGATTTGACCATTTTTAGTAACCGAAACCGGTTTACCAAGAAACCGGTTTCGGTCTGTTTCCCGGTTTGGTTCGGTTTTTTGGGTTTTTTTTTTTTTTTTTTTCAGCCCTAAAAATATGAAAGAAGAGGATGAATAATTTTTTTATTATAAATATATCCTCACTTAAAAGATAAAGGCTAAAAACAAAAATAATAAGGCTAAAAGTCACTTCTCTTGTTAACATTGCACATATTAATATTACTTACAACTGGGTATGTACGTGGCAGCTCCGTAATGGCTAATGAACCACACCACTATGTGGAAACCACCACAAAATGGACCTCGATTGGATTGTTGCTTTGCTTTAGATTATCAAGTGGATATCGCCCTGCCCATTCAACTGAAAAGCTCTACCACTCCATTCATTCCACTTATTTAGGATTAAAAACCAATTAAATATACTAAATCCAGTATTAAATAATAAAATTTATTGATGCCTCCAATCTATATAACAAACTCTTAACTTTTAACAATAAGCAAAACGCATACAGTTGCCATAGCGATATCTACATAGTTAAAATAAATAAAAATATAAACAAGAAAATCTAACTCGTGTAGTTTAAATTATTTTAATTTTTAATATTTTTGCATTTAAATATAGAAATACTGATATCATACGCTAATGTTACACCGACCAACTTCATCAATAAAAGGTGAAATAACTCTACACGGGAACGGGGAATGCTAATTTAACTGTTATTGATATTTGGTCTTTTGTACGCAGTAAAATCTCTCTACAATCATAATGTTAGGATCAATTAAATTTATTATTATGAGAATGTTATAACTTGATAAAAATGTATTTATAATAATTATTTTTTTAATTAAAAAAATATTGTTTTCATTTCTTATTTTATAATTCATGTTTTAGTAGTATTAGGATTTCAATTCATTGTTTTATTATCATTAGGATAGTACGGAAATGGATATTAAAGAGTCATTGCAGGATTGAGTGATCAAATTCGAAAACTTCACTACATTAATCAAATAGATATTAATGTCTTCCTTAATCATCTAAATGAGCAACAAATTATGTATATTTTAACTGAATAAGAAATCATTATTGAAATTAGACAAGAAGAAGAAAGAGATAATCTTAAAGGTGATAGTACGGAAATACCAAAAGTTTCGTGCTAAGAAGCTCTAAACATGCTTTAGAAGTTAGAAATATTTTGACTTCAACAAGAAGTTGTCCGTGCTGACGGCTTATTATGTACTCACAAGATAAAAGATGTGGTAACAACTCTAGAGCATGAATCATTATTTTAAACAACTTTAAATAAGTATCATTGTTTTAAAAATTAGATCGGAGGGCAACCCGCTTTGATGGACGGGTCACGGTTCAACAGGTCCAACCGGTTGGATCGCCAGTTGAACCGATGGTTTGACAGGTTTAAAATCTAACAAAAACACCCCTGATAAATACCATCAGATGCTATAGGTTTGAAATCTAGCAAACACGACCTTGGCCAAATGCAAATCGGCGATTGATTGGGAGAGCAGCGGCGACACACCAGGGAGGGTAGATCGGATGAAAGGGAGGGCGAATCGGCAACTAGTAAGTAGAGGCATTGCCGGAAAATGGTAGATCGATGGTGAAAGTCAATGGTCGCGGTGGCTTTTTTTGGTGAGATAACTGGATCTTCATGAACGACGACAAGGGAGCTTGGGAGAAGGTAGATCGGTGGTTGAGAAAGCTTGTCGATGCCAGAGAAGACTGATCGACGCCGGAAAATGGAAGAAAAATCACGCGGCGAAGGTGGACGACGAAACATCATGCGACGGCTGGAGATGAAGCGTGACAGCGCTGGAGAAAGTCAAAAGGTGGTTTCCGACAGTAAGGGAAGGTGGAAGGTCGCCGGAAAAGGAGAGGTCATTGCCGATTTGCATTTGGCTAGAGGGCGTGTTTGCTAGATTTGAAATCTTCAGGGATTGATGCGTATTAATCAGGGGTGTGTTTGTTATATTTTAAACTTGAAACAATTAAAAAGAGTTACCCAACCCGGAGAAGGCCGAGTCCCGATCCGGTTTAGTTTTTAAAACAGAGATAAATATATTATTTCATCTTAAACATTTATTGTAACATAACATATATTTCTTGCAATATACATATAATTATTATTATGTAAAGACAAATTCCTTAAAACGGAACCTAAAAAAATTTCAACTTATTACAATAAAAATTCATTCTTATTTATAACTAGTTCAAGTTTAAACCAAATTTTTTTATAACTACATAGAGGTTATTCCTATAGAGAGATTCTTCTCTCTCTCTCTCTCTCTCTCTCTCTGTCTCTCTGTATATATATATATATATATATAATATACCTTGGCCTAAATCTGATGTGCTAATTCAAAGGCTATGTTGGTCCCCAAAAATCTTGAAGGATATGGAAATCTCATATAATTTTCACAAAAATTTACAGGAATGCAAAGATCCGTTTAGTAATCCAAGGAACTAAAGATATGTTCACCTTCATCATATTCCTCATCGTCAAAGTTCGGTTCCTGGAGGCAGTGATCTTCAAAAAGACAAGGTGCAATCTCTTTGCTTCTCTGGGGCTTCCTGTCATTTGTTTCTATAACTGAAATTATCTTTTCCTTAATACAGTCTTGAACAAATTCACCTTCATTATCTTGGGACTGCAAGCCAAGAAGAGAGTAGCATTCTTGTTGGAATTCTGAGTCATTAGATGTCAAGATAAGGCCAGCAATGGTTCTTGCAAGGTCAGGGGCATAACTGCGTATCTGAATTAGACAGAATTACTTCATCAGTGAATAAATGGATACCAAGAATCGTTTCTCAAGCTTGAATAAATATATTTTCAATTATAGATACAGCACGTTTGCGTGATTCGAAATACTAAAGATCCTATGAATTCATGATTGGTGGAATGATTGAGGGAGCCATAATTACTTCGAACATAAATTCAACAGCCTTCTGGAATTAAAAGCCATTTGTGTTTTAACATTAATCAGAACATTAGTTCTAGAGACTAAATTGTTTAAATAATGATCGCAGGCAAGAGAGTAATTATGTATGACAATATCAGACATTTTCCAGAAAATTTTCCTTAAGAGGCCAAACAATTGAAACTTCACAAAATGTATTTCAATTGAAAGAGGTGTACCTTAAGGGTATGTGCACTTAGAAGCATTCCTGCATTTTTCTCCTTCAAATCTTCCAGAGCAAGTTTAATAGCCCTTTTTACGAGTTTCCGATCAGGTTGAGTCTTTTGCCTAAGCAGTGGCCATTTAAACTTGACAAGGAGTCAAGGAAGACATATAGCATACACGTATATCAATGAGCAGTAGAAGTGTAGAACAATAAAAAGCATTCAGGTAAAGGCTAAGCCATACAAACGAAATGAATTATATGAAATATTGGATATTGCTTATGGTAACAGTGGAGGACCATATAAATGTGAATATGAGGAGGTAAGTTTTCCCATTCTAGCATGACGTTGCCTCCTTGATCCACAGCCCTTCGCAACACCAACCCATAACTTTTCCAGTCAATGGTAGTCAACGCACTAAGAGAGGATTGGTATATTGAACAAGGTGAGAAATCTTCAAAATACAAAACCTGAAAAACATATTGTCAGGTCTTCAAATAAATCACAGATAAATAACAGTATACATAACCAATGAGTGCAAGCATTACAGAGTGTTTCAAGTTTTATATAATCTGATTGAGTTACAATGTAAGTGAAGACAGTGTTCCAACCAAAGTACTATATCTACATGGACTAAATACATTAATGCGCTATCATTTATGGACATATAACTCAATAGCATACAAAGTAGTTCCATTTGTGTAATGACCTTCATGTCCTAATTTCTTTGATCACATTTTTTGTTATAATAGTAATCACATAAGCAAATTTCTGAAACAGATCCACACATGTTGTGGACTATATTAAACAATGACAACTTTATGATGGATTATCAATGACAAGAGCAGACATGCATATCCAAACACATGTATGGACATAAATAGTATAACACTGACACAGCATTACTGATATGTGTACTTTTAGACTTACAGATATAGACCATCCAGATTAGGAGTTCTTAAAATACTACGTGCACCTCTTTCTATAGTCTCTATGTTTGGTGTAACACAAACTCACATCATTTGGCACATTTAATGTTTGACCAAGAATTACTGATAAGAAGCAAACCATTCCTCAATTAGAAACATGGAAGGCCCAAAAGAACAACAGTTAGAATCAATTATCATAAGCTACTTTTGGCCTGTAGTATTATATATTGATGACTATATAGATGTTGCCAACCTTTATCTCATAACCCACACAATCATCCCCTTTCAGACTCATATTTGCCAAAATATATTTGAAACTAGTCCATAAATATAAAGAATGTAAAGAAGTAACACCAAGAGATTTTATGAACCTCAGTTTTAGCACTGCATGCCCTGAAGCAAGGACTTATTGTCTCAGATAATTCGCTAATTATAATTACTACTTCCATCAGCAGGCTAGGACTCTTATGACTTTCTGAGCAGCATGCTACTCCACTTCCAACCTTCAGCTGTTCCCTAAGAGACAAGGAAATGGAATTTGGACTTGCTGAGGATTTTAGGGGAGATATAACATTAGCCATGCAACATTAGGAAAAAAAAAAAAAAAAAAAAGAAAACAAAACTATTACCAGCAATTACAAAATTAACAACCAATGTTCATTAAGCCTAATTGTTTTAAGAAACGGGCATAACAACAAAAAACAAGCTGCTCCTATGTACTCAACCCATATTACTGTAAAAACATGATCATAATTCTTTAAAAACTTGTAGAAAAGAAAGTGCATATCCTAAGCTCAAAAGTGAAAGGAATGAAATGATTTGTCAGACAGTGTGAAGATGTATAAATCTCAAGCAAGAAAGGTTACTTTCAAACAGTCAAATGAAGGCTCCTCTTTATTTTTTGTTTTAATCATCATAAAGGATTTACTGCCATATTCCAACTAACTAAATGATCTCTTTGCCTAATTAATGGACAGTACTTGATAAGATTGCTCTAGCAAAGAGAAGGGAATACACCCTAAAACAATGCATATTGACAGACCTTGAACATCAAGTGAAAATGATGACAAACCATAGTGATTCAGTTGCCACATTCTATTTCCATATCAATTTCTGCAACAAGCAATGGGAATGGAATACGGGAGATGATACAACTAAAAAGAGTAGTACATGTCCCTAGATTTTTGGAAACAAAAGACCAGCCACCAAAAACTTGAGTTGGCTTGAGGAATTGTGAATTGCACGTAAGTGTCTAATAAAAGACCAGCTGACACCCAATATTTCTGTTGATGGATATCTTCAATTCGTGGTGCAACTACCCAAACGATATTTCCTGAGACAGCAGTGTTATCTGACTACGTAATTTTCTCCTTTCTATCATTCACAATTACTCTCTAACAATCTATACTCTTAGCTAGACTTTCTCCCATAAAGCTATCTTGTTTATTCCTTGTAAACTATCTCTTTAAAATCTTCAACTTGTCACCAGTGAATTGTGAGAAAATCCTCCACTATTCTTTTGTATAATGTGTTATAAATATTGAAACTGATTCAATGAAAAGTGGAGAAGTAAAATCACTCAAGCATTGATTTCTTTCTATCTAACAACTCTAAAATCAATGCAAGCTAAGTCTGAAATACAAACTGGATGACAGTAAGAATTCAAAGTAAACATACTAACTTGGAAAGCAAGATTCATACTTCCTCAGCAAACTGTTTCCACTCCTTAAAACATAGTCTTCAAAGCCTGACTTCAATCTATCAATGTTTGAGGTTGAAAAGGATAAAGGATTGCACTCATTTGCTAAAAGAACATTTTCATGTTTTGATCCAGGAACATCCCCTCGTTCTACCACCAGTTCAATTGCAACATTCTGGAAAAAGATTGACATGTTGCTATTAACTGAAATCAAAGATTAATTAAAAGCAAAAAGCCAGGAGAATATATTCTTGGGAAACGAGGGAAAGTATGATTATCAAATTTTTTAATGATTTCCTTTCCTTTCTTTTTCTTCTTTTCAAACTTCAATTTGAAGTAAACTGTCCAAAATTTCCAAAAGGTTTTTACTTTCCCTCTCTGCTGAAGCTTTCTTGAAAAAAAAAAAAAAAAAGGTCATCAGTATGGTTGGAGCCATAAATTGAACTTACAGGAGTCTTCAGAACGAGCATCTGCAAAAACAATGGAGAGTCAACTTTAGGGGAAATGGCTGGGGAATGGATATTTGTTGTAACAAACCACTTATATTATAGCAACGTATGAGACATCATATTAAAAACTTGAATAGTGAATTAACTGGAGAAATTGTAAAACTTTCATTTGGAATCAAAGATACGAATTAAACATAGAAGGAAACTGTGCATCCAGGAAAAAGCAACAAGTTGGAGATTTTTACGGAGAATTATAACGCAACTATGGAGGTTGTTAAGTCCTATTTACAATTTAGCAAATTATTTTAGCCATAAAAGTTGGTGAAAAGTCATTGTGCATTATCATTATTCTTTGACTTTGAACTCCATAACTGAAGACCTGATTAGTGGTATCAATGTAAGTAAGCATTAGCAAACACAAAACTTACCCTACAGAAAAGTGAAAACTAATAAACACAGCATCACTAGAAAACCTTCTCTATCCCATCGTATTTAGAACTATGTACAAGCAACAACAGCAATTTCTTTCTGCCTTAATTTTAAGATCAAAACAAGTCCATTTAACTGGTGTCCCATTACATGCTTAATACACTGTCTCAGCAAAATAAAACAAAAGAGGTCCAACCATCCAATATCGCAATTTACTATTTCCTTAAAATTTTAATTTGAGATATTTTCCGATTATTGGGTATTTGTTTTTCTAATTCTCTACCTAGATCAATCCTATAGCGTAATTAAACACAGATAAACTGAAACTGGTGTTGGTTTAGGTTGAACATCATGTGTACAGTAAAGAATCAATCTAATTAACACCCATCATATAAAAAGAAAGAAGTGTATGCCCAACTTGCGGGTTGCTATTATTTTAATGGCTTAAAAACTTTTTCGCAACACCAGTTTCTTAATCATTACTTGAGCTGCTTGTGAAACAAAATGACTAGTTTTAAGCTCATGAGCAATCCCATCAAGTGTGTTTAAAGTAGTCAAAAGTTACTGTTATGCAGATAAATTTGCTTGTATTAAGTGATTTGAGAAAATAAACTTTGGAGGGTCGAGCTTAACAACCTTTAGAAAGAAGCAATTGAACTCTGCCAGTAGAACATCAATGCTTTCAGAACTGGACAGATGTACCTCGGTCCCACTACAGAAAGATTCAGCAAGCAATTTAAGATAATTTTATCTAAAAATTAATAACAGAGAGTTCAAGTCAATTGCATGCCTGAATTTTGCACCGTTCTTGGGATTTGAAGGAAGCGGAATTAGCCTTCTATTAGAAATGCTTTCTTTTAGGTTTAAATGATAATGATGTATCTCATCATCACATTTATCTGCAATCTCCGGAGGAAAAAGTTAAAGCAATTTAAAAATGAGAAGCTAACCGAGAACATAAAAAGATGTAAAAAATTAAATTAAACTATAGTAGCTGAAAAACTCCGAAGCATTCATATTTTTGTTTATTTCCAAGTATTAGAATAATATATCCAAATGATTGATCTGAATAAGCATATATCCAGTACATGTTACAATAAAAATAATACGAAACACGGTAAAGCTTGGTAAATCAGCCAGTAACTGCAAGGCCTGCATGTTTGTGCACACACATATTATAAGCACATCCACTGGCGCAAAAAAAAAAAAAGAGGGGGCCAAAGTATCTATCAAATCAAAGCAGAGTTACCAAGAACTGACGGAACTTACTAGTTGTTCTGACTGAAATTAATCCATCTACAATACAATTGAAGGCGTCAAAAAAGGGGCTACATTCAAGATGTTTTAACAGCATGAAATTAAGAAATTAAACATATCATCAATGCGAATAATCATACAGCGCACAATCATTCGCTTACCCCACTTTTTGGCATCAACAAACTCCCTAGAGAAATTTAGGTGCTGAAATTCCTCCAAGCAGCTACCAATACCTGTATCTGATACTAATTTTAAAATTTAAAAACAGAAAAAAGAAAAGCGATTAATTGTTTAAACAATGTTTCAGTAAATTTTATCTTTGAAAAATGTCGTCATTCTGATCTAAAAAACCTAAAGTCCAGTCTCTACCACGAATTGAATGAACAAAGGGAAACAAACTATACGGTTTTGACTTCTTTAAACACTCAACACGGCAGGATTATCGATTCATTTTCTGAGGTTTATAGTGTAAATCACCAGAAATTGCAATAAATCATGATCCAAATTAATTCATGTACAAAAATAGAGAATGAAAAATCAGTTACTTGTAATTCCAACAGTCAAAGGATCATGAGCTGAACAACATTTAAGAACAACTGATAGTCTGCATAGATCTTCTGATACACGGCATCTTTGAAATGCAGCAGAAATTAACTGCAAAAATTTAATTTAGCCAAAAATAAGCTTGATTGAACAGATTGTATATGATAAGAAATTTGACGCTATACTGAAGATTATAAGACGTACATGTATACATAGATTTTGAACTGACGAAACCTCCATTTGTGTATATTTTGATTTTAGTTGGAAGAGAACACAAAGCTTTAAAACAACACACTCCCGCGCTCCGGCGAAAGGAATTTATAGTCTGTGTTTTGATTTAGTGACGGAGAAATGGAGTTTGGGGCTTTGGGCTAGAGTTGGAAGGCCGGGCTATGCCTTCTTTTTGACCCAACCCAATTATAATTTTAATTCTTCCTTAAAAAGTATAAAAACATATAAATAAAAACACATTATGCATATAGAGGTTTAAAATCATATGAAAAATTAGAAGTTTTTTTTTTTAATTGAATTTTAGATTTTAAAATTAAATAATCGAGTCTATGTAAGGTAGACTGATACTATAATAATGTAATAAGATTTATTGAGATACTAAATTAATATTTTTTGAATTTTTAATACAAAATTCGATTTCTATAATTGGGTATGAACAGTAATTTAATTTCATCTATAAATTAATAAGATTATTTGTGAATTACAAGGTTCCAAATTTTGTCTTCACATGTAAAATTGATGTATAATATTGTTTGCGTGGCGAATGTTGATTGTTGGGGGACGTAACCTGCAGCTGCTGCAAGTAGCAACTTACCAAACGAGATCGTGGCACAAGGCTGTTTTCGGTTGGCAGCTGCACCTGCACAGATGAATAATGAATGAAGCATCTAAATATGATTTGCATTAGTTATATAAAAACAAAGCGCGTGAGTGCGCGACCATCGCGTTTACTTCATTGCAAAATAAATAAATAAATTCAGATTTTAAGATAAGCTTCTTTTTTAACACGTTGGGTAGTGATGGGTTAGGTCTTAGGCGAAGAGCAGTCGCGTATTCCTTTTATTTAGCTCTTATAAAATCAATAAGACTTAAAAGACACCTAATTAATATCGGAAAAAATGGAAAAAACAGAGGGTGAAATTATTCGAGCAAAATTGGACTCAGACCAATCCCAAAGTCAAATATCTCATTTGGCTCTCGACATCGGAGGTGATTTTCAATTTTTACGAATATTTTCTTTAATCTGTTTGTTCTTTGTTTGTTTAATTTAATGTTTGATTAATTATCTGAGTTTTGAATTAATTGGAAATGTGTGGCTGTAGGTTCCTTAATAAAGTTGGTGTATTTTTCGAAAAATAACGGTAGTTCGGATGATGATGACGGTAATAATAAGCATCTTGTGCTTCAAGGAAGGCTTCATTTTGCGAAATTCGAAACCTGCAAAATTAATGATTGCATAGAGTTTATACGATCCAAGAAACTTCACCTTGGCGGTATTTATTTCTTCTTCTTCTTCTTCTTTTTTTTTTTTTTTTTTTTTTTTTTTTTTTTTTTTTTTTTTTNTCTTTAATCTGTTTGTTCTTTGTTTGTTTAATTTAATGTTTGATTAATTATCTGAGTTTTGAATTAATTGGAAATGTGTGGCTGTAGGTTCCTTAATAAAGTTGGTGTATTTTTCGAAAAATAACGGTAGTTCGGATGATGATGACGGTGATAATAAGCATCTTGTGCTTCAAGGAAGGCTTCATTTTGCGAAATTCGAAACCTGCAAAATTAATGATTGCATAGAGTTTATACGATCCAAGAAACTTCACTTTGGCGGTATTTATTTATTTATTTTTTTTTTTTCCCCTAAATGGTAATTACTGCAATTTGTAATGGTTTGTTTGTTTGTTTTATTTACCTCATTTTTGGGGTTTAATGAAATATGTTCATAGTAGACGCAAATGTTAAGCTTGAACAACTTAGTTGGTACTTCATTTCAAGCTCGACTACCAGTTTAAAGGTTGCCTAAGCTTAACCTTGTTCGCAATCTTAACTAGCTTTTCAGTTATTCTAAATTCACTGTTGAATCTGTGTTGGTAATTACTATGACTGACGACTTGGGCTAAAGTATCCTAGTGTTGATAAGAGAAACTGCACTGTTAAACCACTTTGGTCATCATTTGTTGTCATTTTGGATATTATAGAAGGGGAATAGAGGGTGTAACAAGTAGTCATTAGAACTAATTTCAATGGTCATTAGTAGGTGAATTCTTTGTTTTTCTTTTTGGAACTTTTTAGGTCATTTTTTCTTGTCATTTGCTTATAATTGAAGGTGCATTCAGGTGTCCGGCTTCATGATGCTCCTGCCAGTGACAAGATCCTTGTTAAGGTAAAATTATTGTGAGTTTGCTAAAGCACGATTGCAGATAAGTTTATAATTTAGATAGGAACTAGGCATTCTGTCATGAGATAACAAATTAAGTGATGAGAGAGTGTTGGATTTTGTAAACTGCACTTTGATCTAATAGTCTTTTCTTCAAAGCACAGATTTCCCTCTACATGTTCATCTTAAGGCATTTCCATATTCTTGTATTATTTGGAAAGGTCATTTTAAACTTCACAATGTAGGTTTAATTGTTTCTGAATGTAGCTTCAAGTACTAAGTTTCTGGAGCAGAAAATGTAAAAAAGAAGAAGAAAAAAAATCCAGAGAATTGATTTTTTGTGTTGGATTTTTTGTTTTTGTTATAATAAACTTGAGTTTATTATATCTAGTAGTGAGGTAAGTAAAACAATTAACTAGTTGCTATATGTGAAAAGGCCACAGGTGGTGGGGCATACAAATTTGCTGATCTCATCAAAGAAAAGCTTGGTATTATTGTTGAGAAGGAAGATGAAATGGATTGTCTTGTAGCTGGAGCAAATTTTCTGCTTAAGGTGAAATACTGGTACCACATACATATTTTGTTCCTCACAAATTGGAATCTTTCCATTCATAGCTATAGTGTGAAGTGCTTAAACAAACATAGTCTCTCGTGCTCTGATCACTGGGAGCAAATTGTTTTGGATAATTATACAAGTTTGTTTTTGTAAACCGGATTTAGATTGTTTTTTCTTTTCTTTTCTTTCCTTTTCTTTGTCGACATGTATATTATTTGGTTACCGATTATTCCTTTAATTTTTGTACATTAGAAGTATTCCTTGAAATCAAATTGGGATCTAGCAATTTGTTCATTTGATCAGAGATTAAACAAAAAACATTATTAGGCTTAAGGTTGCACTTGGCACTTCTGTCCTGAACAATGTTAAGAGTTCTCTCTTAATTGCCCTATGACATTTCTTGCATCAATCACTCTCTCCTACACATTTTTTGTTTAATTTTTTGTTGTTCCTTGAGTAGGCAGTACACCAAGAAGCTTTTACATACATGGATGGTCAGAAGGAATTTGTGCATATTGACATCAATGATTTGTACCCTTATCTTCTTGTCAATATTGGCTCCGGTGTTAGCATGATCAAGGTATTGTTGTTATTTTATGAACTTTAGACAATCTAGGATCAAATAAATAAGGCTACCTTTTTTTGAAAAAAAAAAAAAAAATTGATTGATTGCCAGTCCTATGCTTATATAGGTGGATGGTGATGGCAAGTTTGAGCGAATTAGTGGAACAAGTGTTGGTGGTGGTACCTTTTGGGGTTTAGGAAGGCTGTTAACAAAATGCAAGAGGTAATTGCTTCTTTTCTTATCTTTAGTTTTTTTTTTTTTTTTTTTTCTTTTATGGGTTTTCACTATAGGGAAACAAATGTATTTTCTGATCAGTTTTGATGAGTTGCTGGAGTTAAGTCGTGAGGGAAACAACAGAGTTATAGACATGCTTGTCGGGGATATATATGGTGGAGTAGATTATTCAAAGGTATGAAAAAGTCCTTCTTTGCTTATGTTAACATCTTTAAAGATTTTTTAGTAGTGGAGGTCCTAATTTTAATCCACATTGATGACAACTTGCCATTTACTACATTGATTTTCCACCATAAAATGCTGAAGTTCTTTGTAACCTTTTAATGATGACAGATTGGTCTTTTATCAACAGCCATTGCTTCTAGCTTTGGTAAGGCAATTTCTGATAATAAAGAGCTGGAAGATTACAAACCTGAAGATGTAGCACGGTCACTTTTGAGATTGATTTCAAATAATATTGGGCAGGTCAGTTGCAATGACACAGTCTGCTTTCATGGAGCACTCAGCAATATACTTGTGAAGCAGTGATTGCATTTGCAAGTGTGCTTCATGGACAAACAAAGATTAATATTTTGTCGCATTAATACTTAAGAGACCCTTCAGCCCAGTTCTATACCACAATTGGTCACACTCCTGGGTAACCTAGTGCTCATTAATCATTGTCACACGCATGGTCAGCAAAGTACAACTGACAACCATACGAGTGAAGTTACATTAATATAAACTTGGATTGTGAAGGATCATAGATCTTTGCTTTTATAGATATAGAAAATATGCACATCTATTTCACCCCAATTCTCAGAAACTGAGAAGACAATCCAGGACACTGTTTAATTAAGAATGGTAATGCAGATAGTAAATTTTCAATGTCTTGGATAGCAAAAGTTTCATGAAACCTTGTTTCTCTTGGTAATATCTATTAATCATATTGTGAGGCTTCAAGTCTTCTTTTATCTGCTTCATTTATGTTCCATTGGCAATTCCTTGTTTTTGAGGTGCTTCTTCTAAAAAAATGAAAGGGTGTTATCTTTTTCTTTCAAGATTTAGAAAATTCCTTGTTTTTCAGGTGCTTCTTCTAAAAAAACGAAAGGGTGTTATCTTTTTCTTTCAAGATTTAGAAAATTCCTTGTTTTTCAGGTGCTTCTTCTAAAAAAACGAAAGGGTGTTATCTTTTTCTGTCAAGATTTAGAAACTATAATTTCATATTGAATTTTGTCTCTACAACATACAGGTTGTAATAGTACATGTAGTATTTTGGATTTCTGATATTATCCTTACTGGTGAGGCTCACTAGGTACATTCGACCTAACTGATTTTTGTGGCTATGTTGTGCTAATTACTTGCTGAATCAGGAAAGACTTATTTGGATCCATTGGGATGTACTTTGTTATGATTTCTCTGTCCAGAGTAAAATTGAGAATGTGTATTATTATGTTTGCTTTAATAGTTGATCTAGGTCTAAGATTTTCCATTGTGCATATCATTATCTTATCTAATTCTATCAGAAAATGACATTTGGCTTCTCTGTTCCCAGATTGCTTACTTGAATGCTCTACAATTTGGGCTCAAGCGGATATTTTTTGCTGGATTTTTTATTCGGGGTCATGCATATACCATGGACACAATTTCTGTCGGTGTTCATTTCTGGTAATTATTGGACTTGGTACTGACTATTGGTTTCCCCGTCCTGCAAGTTTTTGACTGAGTGTTCTGAAACTACTCAAGCTGTTGCTTCAAATCAAGATAATGAACAAATTCCATTCTAAATCTGATAATATTTTGAGGCACAAATTCATCCTTAGGAATGTTGCAAACACCAGAAAGAAAGAAAAGGCTACTTATTGAAGAACTGGCTCCAATTGAATTATTAAATTACCAGCATTCAGCTGACCTGGTAGTAAAAAGTAACCATTTCTTGAAGTTTAACAGTCATATTCTGCATGCAACCAAAAACTATTCAGTTATCTGTTGACATAATTGAACGAAGTTAAATTTCTATCTAGGTGGTTGTGTTGATATTCTCTTCCTATATATCTCCATGGTCTCTGGTCCAAAATGCGTTGGAACTTGCTTAATTTCTGCCTGCTTGGTTTTTGTTTCTTCAGCATCCATTTTCTCCCGTAGCCTTCACATAATATACATTCTCATCATGTCCATACATCCTTTTTCAGGTCTAAAGGTGAGGCAAAAGCAATGTTCTTGCGGCATGAGGGTTTTCTCGGATCATTGGGTGCATTCATGAGCTATGATAAGCACGGTCTTGATGACTTATCAACCCATCAGTTAGTGCAAAGATTTCCAGTCAGCGGAACCAACGCAGGAGAAAAGATTTGTTGCCCTCTAGTTGGGGATTTGAACGACAATGATAGTATAGAATGTGGTGTCTACGCAGCGTAGCAACTGAAGCTTTTCCCTTTCGGACTTGCATAGGATGTGGCATACCAAACCTGGCAATTCTTTCATGGTAGCCTGCGTGCTAACCATGCAACTTAAAAAGTCAAGAGATGTAAAATGTAACATAGTTGAATATCTACAGGACCAATAAATTAAGTGCTTAACAAGGCGCATTTCAAGTAAAAAAATGTTGGTCATACAAACAACGTCGTGTAAGTTGTAACATTACCGTTTAGGTCTTTAAAGTTTTTTAACATGTCATACTTTTGTAACTGATCGATTAATAAAACCAATCTATTATGATGAGAGCGAATGTGTTAAATCTCTTCGTCTTCATTTTCTGGGATTGCCCTGCAAAGTTCATAGTTTACTCAATTCATTTCAGGTTTGTAATATTAAGTTGTCGACTTATTGATCATGCATAATGATCTTAGAGAGGCGTTTTTACTTTTTTACCCAACTTGAACTTGGCTAGAGTAATTGGGTAAAAAGACTGGCTTAAATTGCATATACAAAGGTAACGGATGCCTCAACATTTTGTTATCGTAAATTAACCATGTTTTGTCAGACTTTAAATGAGAAATTGGAAATTATACAAATGGTGCTGTGAAGTGTAACAACAGACTTATTATTAAGAACATTGGTATCATTGGAAATGGATGTTTGTATAAAATACAATAAAATATAGATGAGATCTAAGAATGGAAACTAATTAAATTATTCTCATTCATCACTCTTACCACCTTTTATGATGTTGCTTTGCATTTCTCCTGCGAAGTGCCCATCTTTCTTTAATATCGGATATTTGATCAATTTGCCCGACATAATTTACTCCCCGGCATATTTGAAGCTTTTCAATGGAGCTTTCGGTGTCGTGACCTTCCCTAATTCTGGCAGCTTCTACAAGCAGATCTTGTATCAGCATCTCAGTGGTCTTGGCGGTAATTCCCCTCAGATACCACGAAATGGGAGGAGGTGGAACAATGGCAGGCTGAATCAGTTGCTCCAAGCTCACTCTTGATGCGATTCTTCCTTTCCCTCCTGTACATGAATTATAGTCTGCCCATGTTTTAGGCTTAAATGGACTGCACAGTTTTTCATCCACAAATAAAGGTTCTACTCTCCAACAGCCTTCAAATTTTTTCATGAACCCTGTTTTCAGTTGCTTAAACTTCATCTGCCAAACAGTCGTCAAAATCAAGTAAATTAAGAAAGCAATAATTAAATGGCGAAAAAACCATAAAGAGAATTGAACATGAAATCATAGAGTAGTGCATCAGCCTTGTATATGGTAGTGTACATCAGAATGATGCCTGACCATCACAAGGACAAAAACAAGGTAAAATTTATTGCCAGCTTGCTGATAAAGCAACTGCCTGAAAGTTAGTAAACAAATACACTGAACCTTTCTTTTGTTTATGAAAATTATACAAGACAATCCTCTGTTATTTGAAATGACAGACCTCAGATAAATTATCTATGTACTAAAAAAAAATCATACTAAGATTTCGACCTCTGCATGTAATATATGATGTTAAATAGAGAACTGAATTTGCAGCAGAAGCCGCAAAAGGGAAGAGACATGCCCTCAATAATATAGTTGGAAAATGTTTCAAAGGTATTTGTTAGACCAGTAAAACATAGCAAAGAAAAACAACAAGAGTAGATCCTTACTGAGTGATCTTTCCTGTTCTGCTCCACCAAAACGTGAACTGCAATGGTCCCCGACCACCAAAGGAATTTCCATATAGCTGCTTGTTCCAATTCAACCACCTGTCTGTGCCCCTCATCAACCAAAACATTTCTGGATAGAACCTCCTGAAAGAGGCACTTAACTTGTCATGTCAAATTAGAGTCTCATTAAGACAGCATGTATGATGTCAACACAAGACAAATTGTTAAGGGCTTGTATCATGATCCGGACCTCATATCTTGAAAACAATTTCTTATAAAAAAAACCATGTGTGATGATGATAGAACCCCTTCCAATATTCAACCAANAATATTAAATGGCGAAAAAACCATAAAGAGAATTGAACATGAAATCATAGAGTAGTGCATTAGCCTTGTATATGGTAGTGTACATCAGAATGATGCCTGACCATCACAAGGACAACAAGAAGGTAAAATTTATTGCCAGTTTGCTCATAAAGCAACTGCCTGAAAGTTAGTAAACAAATACACTGAACCTTTCTGGTGTTTATGAAAATTATACGAGACAATCCTCTGTTATTTGAAATGACAGACCTCAGATAAATTATCTATGTACTAAAAAAAAATCATACTAAGATTTCGACCTCTGCATGTAATATATGATGTTAAATAGAGAACTGAATTTGCAGCAGAAGCCGCAAAAGGGAAGAGACATGCCCTCAATAATATAGTTGGAAAATGTTTCAAAGGTATTTGTTAGACCAGTAAAATATACCAAAGATAAAAAACAAGAGTAGATCCTTACTGAGTGATCTTTCCTGTTCTGCTCCACCAAAACGTGAACTGCAATGGTCCCTGACCACCAAAGGAATTTCCATATAGCTGCTTGTTCCAATTCAACCACCTGTCTGTGCCCCTCATCAACCAAAACATTTCTGGATATAACCTCCTGAAAGAGGCACTTAACTTGTCATGTCAAATTAGAGTCTCATTAAGACAGTATGTATGATGTCAACACAAGACAAATTGTTAAGAGCTTGTATCATGATCCGGACCTCATATCTTGAAAACAATTTCTTATAAAAAAAACCATGTGTGATAATGATAGAACCCCTTCCAATATTCAACCAATCAATGAAACAGTAAGAACACCACAGCCAAGAAACAAGAAAAGATGATGGAATTCTCTATTGATATTTAGCAACACAGATAACAACAGCAACAAAAATAACCCAAAAGGAATCAGCACAGCAATCAATAGAACAACAAGACTCAAAACAAGAAAAATAATGCTAGACTTTTGAGGGCTAGCTCCTCCCCCTGTTTTTCCTATTTTCTTCTCTGTGTAAAACCAGTCTGCTCTCTCTCTATAACTGAATTTCTTTGCTGTCCCAACCAACAATCGCCACCTGTTCCAACCTAAAATCATCCTTAACATACTACTACTATTGGAAACTTCCTGCCAGCTTCCTTTCTATCCACTATTTGCTACCTTATTTCTCCTTTCCTACACCCGCATCATCCTGGTCTCATCATATAACATATTTCAGCGATAACTCATGTCTGAAAGAATTAGAGGACAATAAGATATTGCATACCTTAATATTCTTGAAAACCCTCTTATTATCTGGATCAGTCACAATATTATATACAGCATCTGGGGGCAATCCAACATTGACCTTTGCATTGAGGTTACAAAGAGAACCTTTTGGAACACTAACCTGTCAAGAGTGACATTAGTATCCAAATTTTTGTAACACCAAGGACCTAAGGATAGATATCCTGGAAAGCTATGAACTGCATTAGATGATCCAAGCAAAAGAATACAGACATCGACTAAAGTTAGGACTGTTGAAAATCTCATTTCTGGATAAAGATTCCTCTTTGATTAATTGAAAGATAATAGTAAGTGGTTACATATACATCAGATACATCATGTGACAAGCGTAAGGAGCAAACAGTACCTGATGTATACTAATACAGGAAATGATTTTGTGACCAAACATAAAGTTAGGTTAGAAACAAAAATTTTATTGGTATAACCTAAAAGATCTCTTATCAACTTAAATTGAAACTAATCCACATTGGACATAAAACAAGTTAAGGCATCTCAGCCTTAACCATGACACCACCATAGAAAACCAACTCTCATTAAGAAAAGGATTTTTTTTCTACTTAATTTTTCCTCACCTTAACTTCTGGAGGTTGATCAACCCATGAAGGATTTTCTCTCCAAGCTTGCAATTGTCTCTCCAAATCAATCTCTACGGTTGTAGATGACCATTCCTTCCCCATTCTCAAGACAGAGTTCATCAAGTTTACTCCTTCATTATCTTTTGCCAACCTCTTAAGTCGTGCCTGCAACAAGGTCTTTACTTTTTATTCCTTAAAACTCCAATGTAAAATTGATATCCACTATACACTGACCTTAAGACTATCATGAAGTTTGTGAGGCAGCTGCACAAAAAATGTAGAAATTGCTGGATCAAACACTTTGGTACTCCTGTTTCTCTTGCTATTATAACCATCCATATTTGTTTTGGTCAATTCCGTCTCAGCCATTAGAACCTGAAACTTTCGTAAATGTTAATTTTTTTGACGTTTAAAAGATATATTGTTCTTCTTGCATACATTTTGTTGTACCATGGATCACTGGATAACCATACCCAATATGAAAGATTCTTCTTTTAGTTAGACAATAAATTGCTGAAATTTACAGTTTTTAGTAGAGCAGATACATGACAGAGGGTAGAGATCAAAGCTAAAATGCACCATATGTCTAAACCAGTTTAAAATAAATTTGTATTTGCCTTTTCAAAATCAAATATGGGAGGTAAATAATTTGGGATATGATATTTGTGATCATATTCTTGGTGAGAGTTCAGTATAACCCCTCCTAAAACCTCTATTTCTTTCAGATCTCTTAATGCAACTGGAGGATAGAAGTCAATATAAATGAATGTAGGTGTAAGAATTCTGACTACCGGAATTATCATGATAGCAGAGGTAATATAGGTAATATGGTTTGAAAATTACCTTGCATAGAGCAATGCATCTCTGAAAATGGAAGTTCTTAATCTATTTTCCAACCTGACTTGTCACAACTCTAGATCTGAACTTGGAAACTCGAAAAGCAATCGTTTCCTTGCTATGCTAGCTGTCTGGAACAAACCAAGCACACCAGAAAATCACTAATGTCTTATCCACTTACTACACCAAGTTATGCATCGTTTCACATCATGCAGAGTCTTTAAACCCTTACAGGGAGCCTTACACTGATCAATCAATGATCAGAAACCAAAATCCTCGGAGTAACCAAACCAATTAAATTCCATAACAATCAAATTCTAGTGACAAAATAAGCTAACCTAGAGCTCAGAAATATATGAAGGGGCGAAACTACCAAATGATACCAGAACTTAAAGCTATAGCCTGACATGGATTTCTATCTCAAGAACACCGTCCACCGAGACACAAGCAACACATAATCACCAATTTACATCCCAAATTACACAACCCAGATAGAAATTCGTTATTATTACGTGCAGCAAAATTAAGTGTGCTATTTCAAAACAGATCAAGAACAAGCATTACCCACATAAATTACTTCGAAGAAATGATTAAAAGAAAGAAAGAAAGAAAAAGGAAAAATAACCACAAGCACAAAGATCCCATTATTTTTACAAACAAAAGAACCCAAAACAAAGGCAAAGCTACAATAACGGCATAAACTATATTAAATGCTAAAAAGGAAGAATTATACCGAAAAAGATTCACTTACAGATTGGATCTGAAGCCAGTAAAGAATCTATGTTGCTAATAACATTGAACCAGAACTTTGAGTTGGGAATGGAGAATTCAGATTGAAACTTACCTCTCTATATTTCATTTTGTTTGTTTGTTGTATATATTTATTTTTTATCGTAAACAGTGATACACATGTTTACGAAAGTACAGGAGTAAGTTCAGCTAAACAGTGGTTTAATCTTCTAATTGAAAGCCAGTAATTCAAGGAAGACGTGATCCAATTTCTAATTGTTACTGTTATTACTAGTGAGTTTAAGTCTAAATAACGTGATATTATGAAACCGTGGATTTGTGGCCAATATATCTCCATCATTTAATCCCAATTGTCCAGTTCTCACTTCCCACACTCCACAGCCATCATTTTTGAATATGGGTCAATCTCCAGATCCACTCTCTGTTCACTGTACCAAACCATAACCAAAGTAAAAATAAAATAGATTGATTAGATTGTTTAGTTTAAAAACAATTTATCTGAAACCAAACTGAACTCTTTTAATTGGTTTTGCTGATTTGATTTACTGAATACTAATGTGAACATTTTACCTCGCATATCGAATTGTTGATTTCCTTTTATAAGAAAACTGTTCATTCGATTCAAATGCATTGAAACTTTTACCATACAGAGTCAAAGGTTCATGAAATTCGATTTAATAATTAAGTTATTCACTTATTAAGTTATCCAGCTAGAGTTACCATTGAGTAAAAAAAAAATTATGCGCAGGACTCCCATTAATCATTGTTGATACTTGATTTTGAAACCAACTACTCTCACGTGTAAAGCGTTAATCAGACTTAGAAATCACACGTAATATGAGAATATGAATTGAAATAACGGATGAGAAGCAATATTTAAAGTAGTTTGGATACTCAAAAGCGAATCCTACATCCACTGCTATTGTATTAATAAAAAGGGAAAATCAGGTTGCGTGCAGTGAGCTGAGTTACAGTTTAAAGAGAATACAAAGAGAGAGAGAGAGAGAGTAAGCTGTTTTAGAGTAAGTTTAGCTAATCCCGCAAATGAGAGAGAATGTCTCTATTTATAGTGGGGGAGTCCAAAGAAATGATTACAAATACCGCAAGTGGGTAGGTGCCGTGCAAATCCTTTTTTGCGTCCTATTGGTTACTTGCCTGAGGGATTTCCTCAATTTGCATAGGGTTTGGACACGTGGGTGATCTCTAACCGCTTGCAAGCTTGGCACTCATCTACTGCGTTGACAAGAACCATTTCCCATGAGTCAGGCGCGACGTGGCTGCCCCTGGACGACACAAAACCTTCTTGAGCCTTGATTGACGCTTGTTGACTAGGTTCCATGTCAACCCTAACTTTTCAAGCATAACAGAAGTCCCCCAGTTTTTAAGGTTTAGGGATCGAACCTTGAGAACATCATAATTATGCCACGACTTAACATGTCCTAAATGACGCTTGGTCAAGCTGACCGGGCTGCAAGGAGATCGCAGCACACATCTCTACGAGCGACCTGAGATGGTCTTCTTTCACAAAGTCGATGACCTGGATTAGACCTTATTCAGTGCCGTACCAATGTGCTTCAAATCTCAATTGAGGTTCCCGACCTGATAGTACTTAGCAAATTTTTACCAAAGACAAGGAATCACATTGTCCCGTGACCGATACTCAACAAAGAGTGTTCTATCCCAACGACCTCTTCAGATGTTATCCGTTGCGCTTGACAGCTAATCCATTAATAAAATAACCTTTATTCTGACAGACGTGTCCTGCACGCAATAAGTGCCAACCATGCGCATTAAATGCAAGCCATGCTGAAACGACATTCTTTATCAGGGCATTAAATGCGAATGAAGGCGCATTTAATATGGAGAGAGAATCGAGCCATCGCTTGGTTATTTCAATAGAGAGAAGCGACGATTGAATTTCTCGAAGTGTGGCGGTTACTCCTTCTCGCTGATTGATGACACGCGGTCGCAATCAATGGCAAGAAACGCATTCCACCCAAGCTTCGCTTGGCTTAGGGAAGACCAATCGCCACTTCCTCCACTATAAAAACCCAGGCTCACCTTAAGCAACGTCACAACACTCATATTTTTCAGAGAAAGTAAAAAGAAGCTCTCGCGAGACCAAATTCCCCATTCTCAAGTTGGTGTGCACTTTTTGATTACAGCAAGAAGTTCGATTCCCATAGCCAAGAGGTAAGGAAGATTTTTCCAATACTTTTCTTTTTCTGCTTCATAGATAGCTTATCTAGACAATAATAATAAACCTTTATGGTGCGTGTTTACGGGCAGTCGAATGGAGAAAGCTTTATCTTTCATAAGGAATAGGTTTTTTAAGGGCATAGATCTTTGGGGATGGTCCGCAAGAATTTTTTAGGGTTTTTCCAAGATTTAAGGAAGATACATTAGGGTTTTTGTTCTTCCACGTTGTCGTACAGAATACTGTACGAAGACTTAGTAACCTCTGCATGTCGTCCTTTTTCAGACCATAAGAGAGATGGATGCCTTAGCTACCAAGACAACCGAGGGGAAAAGCTCGTAGGTGCAGGACTCCCCAGCGAGTCCCGCGTAAGAGATTCTGTCACTAGCCACCCGAGATGAAATACAAAAGGCAGTGGACCAATACGCACTTAGCGTGGATGTCTACCAGCACAGGACGTATACAGTTCAAAATCCCCCAGAGAGAATGGTCGCGATCTCTGAGGCGATATTTAAATGCGGGGCGCTAATGCCCTTCCACCCCTTTATCAGGTCGATCCTCAATCACTTCGAGGTCGCACCTCTACAATTGATGTCCAACGCGTATATGATAGTTGTGGCTATGTATATCGCGTGCGACGAGAACGGCCTCGGCCAGTTGACTGCGTTGGAGCTCGCTTGCTCTTATTATTTGAAGAAGAGCAGGGACAAAGATTCTTAAGAGCAGGGACAAAGATTCTTACTACCTCTCGAAACAATCTACGATCGAGGGAGGCATATTTGGTTACCCCAATAACGTGGGGGCATACAAAACCAAATTTTTCTTTTTCATGATAGCGTCTACTAGTTTAAGGATCCGAGTAAATCTTCCCTTCTTTTACTTAGTGAATTTTTTCTTTTCCTTTAGTCTTTGCTTTCTAACTAGCATTCCCGTCTCTTCGTAGGAAACAAAACGACCAGGTTGACCGCTCTTACTGACTTCAACTGAATATTATCATTCGGTAATCTACCCGAACAGAGTTGTGACGTGAGACTGCTCGTGACAACTGCCAACCTGAGGAAGTACGGCTTCTTCAACTCTGAAGCGACCTTAGAAAGCTTAATTCGTAAGTGCACGCAAACTTTAGAAGATTTTTCTTTTGCATGCAGCGAACTCTCTACCGGTACTTGCATGCAACGACCATGCCACCCAAAGTGTCAAGATCATCAAGGCTTAGGGGGTTCGTTTTTGCCCGGGTCAGTGCCACCGAGCCAGCCAAGGTGACCTCTAATGACACCCTCATCGGAGGAGCGCAGGTAGGAGCACGAACACCCACCAAACAACCAGCGGAAGCTTCCCGGCCTGTGGCTGCTCGCCCTAAGTAGAAAACCATGGGTCAAAAATCTAAGAAGAGAAAGCAATTGTAGCCCAAGGAATCAGAATCTGAGCCGGAGGGCTTGGGGGTGCAGCTTGGGAGGTCGCAACCTTATCAGGTCTTTCACTCGGGGGTGACCCCGAGGCACGTGACTGGTGTTACACTGGTCCCTAAGCGTCCGTGCAGGGGACAGGGAGAGGTTAGGGCTCCCGGAAGGAGAGTAGGCAAAGAGCTAACTGGCGAGGTGTCATCTGCTTCAGAAGCTGGCACACATGTGTTAGACTCTATGGGACAACTTCCAGAACACTTGCAGCCGGTGGTGTATACCCTCTTGGAGTGCCAACTTGCCAAGGCCTTTGAAGAGTTCATGACCTCCCAACCTGCAGATCTGATGACCATTGCGCTTCAGTTATAAAGCCAAGTAAGACGGTTCGTCCTCATCGAGGACTTTTCAATATCAGTTGGTTTTTATTTCTTTTGTTTTTTCAAAGAAATGGAGTTTAACCCTTGCTTCCTTTATTATGCAGTCTTTGCTCGCCCTGCACTTGGCTTAACAGAAGACCCATCTGGACGATGCTGGGGGGCTTCATGAGCTAAAGGAAGAGAATGCACAGCTGAGACAAGACCTAGCAGCTACAGATAAAGAGGTGAAGACATACCACCTCCAAGTGAACCAGTACATGCTAGAGAGGAACTCTAGGCTTCGCACAATAGACTTTTAGAAGGCCGAGCTGGATAAAAGAGGAGAAGAGGTCAAGGAGCTCCAGATGACGATGCTCAGGCTCACCAAAGAGTGTGACGAGAAAGAGCTGGAGCTCCGAGCGAACTCCAAACAGGCCTTGAGGGCAGAGGAAGAAAGAGCTTGGTTGTGGGAAAGTATCGAGAAGCAGAAGAAGGCATTGGAAGCGGACCTCAAATTATCCCAAAGGTGGGTTGCTTCATTAACTGAACAAATGAAGTGGTAAAACCTGGAGATTGAGAAGAAGGCCGTTGACTAGGTGATTCTGGCCATTTATGCCTTGCAGCCAAAGAACCCAAAGATAGACCTCACAGACCTCTCGACTGATTATCAGAACATCCTTGCTTCCATTGCGGAAGTTGATGATACGATTAAGGAGGAAGGACAAGGGCCTTATTCAGAGGGTGATTAGCCAAAAGAGTATGTTCCAAAAAACCCAGCAACTGACCAAGTGGTCGGCGACCAACTTAGAGATACCGAGGTCACACCCTCATGGTCTAGGGATGGACACCAATGATCACTTCTGCTTTTTTTACAACCTTGCTTTTGACTATCTTTGCTCTTCCTATCTCTGTACTTACTATTTATGAATGAAAGAAATGTTTTCAAACCATTTGTGATAGCACTTATAATTTTTTCGTACTTCACAAATATTACATATTCGAACAGAAAGATATTTTCTAGCCATTTGTGATAGCACTTATAATTTTTCGTACTTCATAAATATTACATATGCGAACAGAAAGATTGTAAAAACAATGTGACGAACAAGATCATACAAGATAAATTTTGCTTAAGAGCGATCTTATTTACAAAGTTTACAAGCAAAATTTACAAGGAAATTAAAAGAGCG